AAGTATAAGTGGGTTTTAGAAGGTTAACAGGTTGAGTAGAAAATGTAGATTTCATTTTAAATTATGATCCGCGACATGAATTATTAAAAATTCAACTCAAAGAACGCGTATTTATATATAAAAATTAAGTCCATATAGATACAGATTTGTCGCCTTTGTTTATGCCGAAGTATACAAAGAGGTTTTTATACATACAATTACGTTTCTTATAAGTGGAAAGAACAAATACAATTTCTATGAAGAATATTTGACTATCTAATTTACAAATTTGCTTTTGAAATTAATCTTTTAAACATAGAATTACCCCTGCAGATTTATCTTATACCCTATTTCTTGTCATTGAAATAGTGAGATCTGCTATGATGAATGCCTGTCCCGAGACCATACTGGTAGCTTGTATAGTTAAATAATTTCTTGTAATTAAACTTAGAATAGGGTATTCTTTCTGCACTTGTCATCACACTAACGGAATCCCCCCTTCTTCATCTCTTGAGCTCCTCTCTCAAATTAAACAAATAGAAATGACAAATTATCGGAATAATGGTCAGCACGGTGATCGGATTTTTAGGATATATTCGGAATGTTTCAGTACCCTATATGTTTATTTTTATGTTGTTTAATTTTCCCAGCCCTTTATAAATACAAAAAAAACTAAGTTTTAATTTCAAACGCTTTAATAGTAAGTCTTTTCCTAATTTATTTCGTAGACTATCCAATTGTTCATTTGCAGATTATATAAAATTAGTAGAAAAAGAGGTATCAAAGGTGGATGAAATAGAAATGGGTGAAACAGAGGTAAGAAAAGTATTATTCATCATTGGACCATAATCAGAACCGGGACCAGACAACTTTGGCCAAAGAATTGAGAATTATTGGTCTTAAGTTTTTACCGTCTGGTCTCGGTTTTTTATGATATCCCTACCCTTGATTGAATCCGCCAGGGCAACTCCGTTTTTACTAGAGATTAGAATCGAACTTAATTTTTACATTCGAACTTATTTAATTTGAATTCGAATTAATTCGAATAATAGTCATCAGACAGGCACTGCCTGATAACGGTTTTATCCGGCGGCTTAATATGATTTTCTGCCCAACAATAAAATTATTGGGCAGGGCAATAGTTTAAACTATTTTAAACTATTTTAAACTTTCGTTTCTGTCCAATAATAAAATTATTGGGCAGATAAATCATAGTAAACTGCAGGATAATTCATATTAATTTATATAACATTCGAATTTATTGATTCGCCTACTGATTCGCATGAATGATTTTAACTGTTAATAACCGTTAGATCAGTTTAGACTGTTAAAATACTTTTATAATGGTTAGACCGTTAGAATATTTTTATAACTGCTATAACGGTTATAACTGCTATAATGGATATAACGGTTATAGCTGCTCTAATGGATATAACGGTTATAACAGCTATAATGGTTATAATGGTTATAACAGCTATAATGATTATAACGGTTATAATAGCTATAGTGGATATAACGGTTATAACAGCTATAATGATTATAACGGTTATAATAGCTATATTACAGTTTATCGCATACATATATTTAACGACTACATTGTAGATATAACGGTTGTATTGCTTATATAACGGCTACCTTATATAGCATCCATTTACGTATATTTATGCATAAATATTCAAATTTAATTCGAATATAATTTTAAATCGAATTAAATCGAATTAAAGATTCGATTCCAATCTTTATTTTTTTATCGTACAGGTCTTATGTAACAACCCTGCTTAATTCGAAAGCTTATTCGCACGGGTATATATGTAAATCATGTGATTTTCATATATATCCGTGCGAATAAGCTATTTTCGTAAAAAGATATTCGTTTTTTTTTATTAAAAACCTATGTAACTATAAATTATTATTTTCAAAGTCTCATTTTTGGGCGAAGATTAATACATGTATTAGGTCATAGTTTTTTAAAATTCTCAATTTCTGGGAAAAGTCTAATAATATATATATTAAATTTGGCTGTTTTTAAAATTCTCACTTGCTACGAAAATTTAGATCGGATGGTTTTTAAAAATTCTTATTTACTGGTGAAGACTAATATATGTATTAAATTAATATTATGTCGAGTAGTTTTTAAAATTCTTATTCATTTACGAAGACTAAAATTAGATTGGGTGGTTTTTAAAATCCTCATTTACTGGACGAAAATTACTATTAGGTTGAGCAGTTTTAAATTCTTATTTGCTGGACGGAAACTAATATTATATCTGGTGTTTTTAAAAATTTATTTGTTGGGTGAAGACTAATATTAGATTAGATGGTCTTTCATAGTTCTTATTTGCTGGTTTAAAATAAGAGTAGCTTTTTAAAATTCCCATTTGCTGGTATTATCATAATTCGAATGTGAAACTATTAGCTTTTTTGTAATTTAAAGAAATGTTATTTATCTCTAAACAATAAATTCATTTACAATGCTTTTCGTTCTTTATCTATGGTTCGAAGTGTTTCAGTATTTACAACAAACAAGTGATTTCTTAACTGTTGGGCTTCCTAATCGTTGACCGTAAGGCTGTTGTTTGATATTTTGGAATTAAAAACTAAGTTCAAATGTGTCAGATAGTTTCACGAACAAGGATAAAGAAAAAAGTAATTATAAATAAAGATAGTTTAAATAATTAAATAGTTTGTTTAAAAGAAGCGACGCGTGGGTTGTTACGTCAGACCCGTACAATAATATGGATACGTGCGTGTAAGTTAGTTGCACACGGTTCATATCTAAACCACGTGGCCGAAGGCCACATGATTTAAATGGGTGGTGCTCATTTCACCGACAATCACTTCACCGACAGCTTAGTTCACCGAAACTAATTCACCGACAAGTTCATTTCACCGACAGTTTATTTCACCGACAGTTCATTTCACAGACAAAGTAATTCTGGCCATTGTCGTTAAGATCAGGCTAGAATTAGAGTTAAGGTTAGTGTAATTTATAAAAAAACTTGTCGGTGAAATGAACTTGTCGGTGAATTAATTGTCGGTAAACTAAGATGTCGGTGAAATGATACGTATCCATTTAAATATGAGCACTATACGATAACTCTAATATATTGCGCCGATTTTTACTATGAAATTTGTACCTTCACTACGAACTACCCTTTAAATTTTTTTCTTGTCTTTTTTTTTTTTTAAAAAAAAGCATACAATATTAAATTTTTTATGTTTAAATAAAAGAAATGGGGTCTATAGCCTTGTTTGTAGAAACATAGTACTGGTCTTTGCGAAATTTTATCCAAAACTATCAGACAGTTAGGGCTGCGCACCTATTTAGAATTTGCAATAATTATTATTATAAAATATTTACCTATAGACCTCTATCGAAAAAATCCTCATTAATGAATTTCATTATATGGGGTGCGTCAAACAAAACACAAATGAGTTAACCATACGGTCATATAAAGTGGTATTCTTCTATATAATTTGATATTTAAAATATTGATTTTCATAATAAATTTTTTGTTGCTTTTTTTTTAAATCTCATATAATTCGTTAAAATTTTGTACGATTTTGACCACAAATTTCAAGATCAGCCTGATCTTGAAATTTGATTGGTCAATAATTTAACGAATTAAATTTTACTTACAGGTTTTCTCTGTGCAGCTCTCATATATGGAAGACGTTTAAAGCCGTGTGCAGTTAGAGTTACTTTTTTGATGCAATCAGGATGTTGGCCTATATAGATATCAAGAATATAACTTATACGGCACGTGATCTATATATTAAACGCGGCTTTAAACGACCCCATATATGGTTAGCCGTGATTAAAAATAGAATTTAGAAATTCAACAGGTTATACTAATAATAGATCGTTATTGTTATTATTACACAAAATTTTGAACGTGATTTCAAAAAGCCATATAACTACATGCATGGTATACTGCGCACCCCAATGATACATCCCCAAATATAGTATCCAGTTTCTTAAACAGTATCCACGGGCATTATTCAATTTAAAAAATGTTCTTGAATAAGACCTCAGGTACTGCATGCAGTGACAAACGGTAATATATTTTTATTGGTATAGCAGCTGTTTATTTGGCGAGACCAATTCGATTCGGTGAATTACCCTTCTCTTAGTAAAAAAAAAAAAAAATTTGGGAAATACATATATGATCTTGACCGGTGTGCGTAATACCGGGCGGAATTAAGATTAGAAATTGTAGGTCAGACCGATCATTTCCTATTGAAAGAAGTTTTATTAAAATTTACCATGAACGTATACGTTCTATTGTTTCATCCCCTTTTGAGAAAGGAATGTAACGTAAATTACCGAATTAAATTGGTCTCGCCTAAGATTTAATCATAATGAATTTTAATAATGAATTGTTTAAGTTCAATTTCAGGTTTTAATTTTGCAGAACTAAAACTATGTAGAAAAGTAGAAATTAATGAAACACGGTTTTGTTTATTTTTAATTAACCAATCAAAATCTGTAATTTGCGTACACACAAATATCGGGTGCATTATGTCTCTCCGGAAAATTAATCTATTGCCATCTGTACGGGATTTGATGTGCTTCGAGTGATATTTCACACATATCTCGAGAGATTATGCAACTTCGTGTTAGTCACAGTAAAAATTCACTTTACTGCTATTATCATAATTCCTGGAACACCTGATAAAAATTAGCCGAATGATTTTTCAGCCGATTCGACTAAGTTAGTGATTTCGGCATAAAAGATTCTATAAATTGATACGTATACGTATGTACGTACGTACGTATCAGGTTATTGAATCTACGTATTATGCCGAGATAATAACTTAACCGGACCGGCCGAAAAATCATTCAGCTAATTTTTATCAGGTGTTCCAGAAATTATGATAACAGCAGTAATCGAATAATTTATCTCGGGCGACCATGCAATGTATATCTATCCGCACGCGTCCAATGAACAAGATCGATGAATCATAACTTTCAACTTCAAACATATAATGCTATCTATACATTAACCTGGTTTATAGAGGTTTGTAATTTTTAAGTTTATATTGTTACGGGGTGAATCGTAGGTTTAGTTAGTTTATGCCCGAAAATATAGTTTTATACGATATAAGGCATTCGCCAGAGGCGTGACGATGGTGATTTGACAATAATTTATTAAGAGGGTTTATCAGAGTGATTTATTAAATATATTGTGAAGGAATTATTAGAATCCCGTAGGATGCCTTTTTACAACAGCGAAATTGTAGTGCTTTTATAGCTTCTGCTAACTTAACGAATTCAAAGGGCTTAGGGTAAGAATTTAAGAGACTAATTCTAAAGTAGGGGCTTACAATAATAATTTACATCATTATAATAAAAGAAAGGCTTTGCTTCGCTCAATACATTTATTCGCCTTTACAGCCACTTCAACTTATATTTTAATCTTGATATTCGGTCTTCTTTTATTCCTTCTTACGCGTTCCTTGTTCTTCGGATTTCACGTTGGTTATTGTTTATCTTATTCGGCCGATAAGCCTCAACCGATAAACTAGTATTTCTTGGATCCATTGCTTCAATCACGGGTTTGCTGTGCCTAATTTTGTAGATCCTTCATTTTAGCCCGTTGTTACGATCGTCATTAGAAATTTTCGCCACTGACTCGACGATCGTTAAATGATTGACTACCGTGGCAATAGCTTAAACTCGCCACCCCTACGATAGTCATCCCTGTGCTGTGGCTTCGATACCTAAACGATCTTCCCTTTTAAAGATC